TGCAGGCTGACTCTGCCCACAGCCAGAAGTTCAATCCTGACCAGCTCAAGGTTGACTCAGCCTTCAATTCTTCCAAGATTGATAAAATGAGGGCCCAGATTGTTGGGGACAATGTGCTGACACACTGTAAAGCACAATGGGGCGGTATATAAGTCTAAGTCAGTGGTTCTCAACCTTTTTAATGCCGCGACCCCCAACCGGTCGTAAGTCGAGGACTACTCCACCGGTCGTAAGTCGAGGACTACCCAACCGGTTGTAAGTCGAGGACTTTCCCTGCCCGGGAGCGCCGTGCATGCGTGGTGCCACTCCCTGCGCCGGCCGAGGCGTAGCTGGCAAGCGGCAGAGACGGCGCAGGGTGACCACCAGCTGGGCCACCAGCTGGCCCAGCCCAAGGGAGGTAAGGCACCCGCTGGGCCCCACGCACGCCAGTAACCCTCCCTGCGCCCGCCGGCCTCCCACCTCCCACCCCTGGCCCTCTTTTACTTACATTTTTAGTAGTTGCTCAGCAGGGAGGGGTGGAAACTTCCAGACAGCTCGCCTTCGCTGCAGACAACTTGCAGAATGGGACTTTTGGCAGGCTTAGCAGGGCAGAGACAGCCTGGACAATTCCTATTGGCTTTTGAAAGTCAATAAAATTAGACTGTATTCAAGAGAGTCTATTCTATTGACTTTCCAAAGCCAATAGAATAAAAGGGAGTAGCACAGCTAAGGAAAAGGGGGGGAAATGGCGAACTGCGTTGTTTGGCGATCCCCGTGAAATGGTCGTTCGATCCCAAATGGGGTTGCGACCCACAGGTTGAGAACCGCTGGTCTAAGTGCTACTGCTATTGCTATTCAGAGGCTTCAAGGAGTGAGGGCAATCCCTTACTTTTCCCATCCTTATACTTCACTTCTCCCTAATTCTGCCCTTTGTTTTAACATTACTAAACTTAAGACATATTATGCAAGGACCTACCTCTCTAGAGAAAGCTCTAATGCTGAGAAAGGTGGAAGAAAGGAGAAGAGGGTAACCAATATGTCCAAATCTCCCTCATGCAGATATGGACTAACACTCTAGCTCAAGGGGCTATTCTCTCTTATGGAAAAACGGATGGAAAATCTGGTACAAGAGAGGGGAGATACTCTGCATTCATAACACTTGAGTTACAGCCCTAACTGAGCCTGGCAATGGTAATAGTAGGCTGTGACAGTCATAATACAGGTCACCACATGACCAGATTCACTTTTACAACCTATTTTGCAGCAGTCGTTAAGTGAACATGGCAGTTGTAAAGCACCAGGCTCATTAAGCAAACCCATTATTTGCTATGGGCTGTTTTTTTTTTTTTTTTTGCCAGAAATCAGACTAATACCATCACAAATCACGGTCACATGACCTTGAGGTGCTGCAAACAGCCGTAAACGCAGGCCAGTTGTTGAGCACCCCAAATGGGGTCATGTGACCACAGGGAAGGGGGCAATGTTGGAACCTCGAAACTGGGTTGTTAAGTCTCTTTGGGAGGATAACTATATCATAACTATGAACAATCGCTCAGCTATGCTAACCTAATGTTCTCTAGCTGTTTTTCTGTTCTTGCTATTGTCCATGCCAGCAAGTAGTTCGTGTCAGTCTCTTCAAAGCTCTCCAGCATTTTATTACAGCTTGCTTTGCTGCCAGGAACAGATGTCCTATTAAGATTTTATCGTACAACAGCAGAGATTGCCCATGAAAGGTTTTTAATAAAGCGAATAAATGCGTTTGTTTGAATTCTGATCCCGTAGCATTCCTATTTCGGCAAATGGGTGAGACGTCAAATCTCACAATTTTTTAAGTGTTGGACTGGGTATAATGAGAGATGAATTCCAATACAACTCACGAGCACTAGCCTGGGGAGGGTTTAACTCAATTATCCCTTCTGGTTTGTACTAGTAAGAATCTGATGAACATCTCTAATCAACGAAGGATGACGTGTGGGACCCAACCAGTAACAATGAAATTATGGAGAAGTACAGAGGTGTTTCAGAGAATGCCAACAATGTGATCATAGGTGTTCAAAACCACTTAAAGGTTGCCTCTTCCACCAGGACATTCAAAGATGAAGTTAAAATTCAACTAGATCCATCCTTCCGTTTATTTGCTTGTTTTCTTAGATCAGTGGTTCTCAACCTTTTCAATGCCGCGACCCCCAACCAGTCGTAAGTCGAGGAATACTCAACCGATCGTAAGTCGAGGACTACTCAACTGGTGCAGCACCGTTTGGAGAATGGGACTTTTGGCAGGCTCAGCAGGGCAGAGACAGCCTGGACAATTCCTATTGGCTTTTGAAAGCCAATAGAATTAGACTCTATTCAAGAGAGTCTATTCTATTGGCTTTCAAAAGTAATAGAATAAAAGGGAGTAGCACAGCTAAGGAAAAGAGGAAAAAATGGCGGACTGTGTTGTTTGGCGACCCCCGTGAAATGGTCGTTCGACCCCAAATGGGGTCCCGACCCACAGATTAAGAACTACTGTCTTAGATAGATATCCATTTTATGCCCAGAGTTCCAGAATGGCATCAATAGTAACCCCTTCTCAGAGAGCTGAGACATCTGGGATATAGACTGAGCTGATATATAAGGCGTAGCATAAGGTTACTCAAATAGTTGTTAGGACATGGGTAGGAGGTTAGTAAGCCTGTATTCAAGATCTGAGAGCTACTGTGGGATGGGGTGAGCTCCTGTCCTTCACTCCAGCTCCTGCTGAAGACATGAAAGGAGTCCCCAACCAGGCATTCCCAGGGCAAAGGTGATGTCATTGGCTAATCCTTTCAACCCAGAAACACCTCGGTGCTTTTAACAAGAGTGCAAAACTCAAAATACTTTCCATGGACTACATAGATTTGAAGCTGTGTCTCTCCAAATTTAGCCTTAGTCAACACTCTAAGTGTTTCTCAGGTTTAGCAACTTTAAGAAATCTGGACTTCAACTCCAAGGATTCTCCAGCCAGCATGTTCCTTCCAACTGTTTCAGAAAAAGCCTTTCACTGAAAATCTGGCTGGCTAAAGTATAATTCAGGATGTGGTACACTACCAACCCGTGTGCTTAATTTATGATTTGCAATATTGTGCTATCAAGGCAACTGCATTATTCATAAACTGGCTAGATGCTTGTCATATATTTTACCTGGGGGATGTTCTTCCTGAGTAACTTCTTACCCAGTGCCATTGATAATAATTTGAAAAATAATATATGGCATCCAACTTCAAAATGGAACAATCTAGTAGTTACTATCCTAGCCAATACTTGTTTATTATATGAAAAAATATAGAAAAATAAGCTGTGGCCCAATTGGGTTAGAAGAGTGAGAGAAGATTGGGTGAGAGATGATTTAGCAAATCCTCATCAAGTTTTGGTAGAAATAACAATATCAAACCCAGGGGTCCTGAGCATCAAAGACCCCACAGTTCATCCCTTAGCTACAAATATCCTCTTCTATTGATACATTAAATAAAAATATTTTGTATGAAAAAGCCTCTTTTTTAACAAATTACGAATAATAATGAGAAAACAAACATTGTTTCATAATTTTGCAAATGCATCCAATATCTGGAAAATAATTTTGATTTCACAGTCTCCTAAGACAGTTTGGGGGTATCCCCAAGGTTCCTCAGATAGGTAAAGTATTCTGAAATCTTCTGGGTTTGCACTCTCTCCTTGACCTTACAGTGCCCACTGACATGTGAGCATGGGCTGGTGGGGTGAGTTAAATATAGCAAAGGAAAAAATAATGTATTATCCTGATGGTTTGAAGGTATTTGGTCTTTAAAATTAGCAGTAGAGTGGTTTGAACCTGCTTGAGATGCCTAGGTGAAGCATGCTATTTTCAAGTTTTTATCCTGTTCCTTTCCTTAAAAACAGGCAGTCCTCGACTTACAACCATTTGTTTAGTAACTGTTCAAAACTACAACAGCACTGAAATAAGTGACTTATGATCGTTTTTCACACTTAAGTCTGTTGCAGCATCCCTAAGGTCATGTGATCAAAATTCGGATGCCTGGCAACTGGCATGTATTTATGATCGTTGCAATATCCTAATGTCACGGGATCAACTTTTGCAAACTTCTGACAAGCAAGGTCAATGGGGAAGTCAGATCCACTTAACAACTATGACACTAGCTTAACAACTGCAGTGATTCACTTAATAATGGTGGTAAGAAAGGTCATAAGATGGGGCAAAAAGTCGCTTGACTATGAGTCTTGCTTAGCAATGGAAATTATGAGCTCTGTTGTGGCTGTTAGTCGAGGACTTCCTGTATTTATACACAACTCAAGGCAGCATACCTAAGGTTTGTACCTCTGTTTTTCTCCACCACAACCCTGCGAGATAGGTTGATAGAGGGAGAGGGAGAAAGAGAGGCAGAGGAAGGGAGAGAAGGGCAGAGAGAGGAGGGGGAGGAAAAGACGGAGCGACAGACAGACAGACAGACACACACACACACACACACACACACACACACAAACCCCCAAAGTTCCCCAACTAACTTCCACACTTATGCATGCGGAATTAAAATGTCCCATCTCTCCAGTTAGAACAGTTAATCAGTGGGACGACTTGCCCTCCAGAAGTTGTGGATGCGCCAACACTAGAAAGTTTTAAGAAGAAATTGGACAACCATTTGTCTGAAATGCTATAAGGTTTCCTTCTTGAGCAGGAGGCTGGACTAGAAGACCCCCAAGGTCCATTCCAGCTTTATTCTGATTGAAAATTCTGATTAATAAAGGAGAATATTTGTAGCTCAGACTTGGCATAAGGCAGGGGTTCTCAACGTTGGCAACTTTAAGACTTGTGGACTTCAACTCCCAGAATTCCTCAGCAAAGCTGAGGAATTCTGGGAGTTGAAGTCCACAAGTCTTAAAGTTGCCAAGGTTGAGAACCCCTGGCATAAGGGGTCCTGGTTGCTCTCCGAGCTCAGCTCGCTTGTTTTCTTCCAGACGTTCCGTTACCCAAACTAGGTAACACCTTCAGCGCCCTGGTGATGTTACCCAGTTTGGGTAATGAAACGTCTGCAAGAAAACAAGCGAGCTCGGAGAGCACCAAGGATCCCTCAAACTTCTGACTGACCCCAAGGCGCTCTTAAGAATCCATCTTCTCCCCAGGCTGCCTAACAACAAACTGGGCGGCTCCTGGCTGGGCAGGGCGAGCGCCGAGCCTGGCTGGTTGTTGGCCCTGGGCCAGCCCGCAGCGCAAAGCAAGAGCCCGGCTGGCAGGGCTGAAGCCGAGGCGGAGGCCGGCCTTCACCTCCCGGCTCTGCCTCTTCTAAGGAAAGGGAAGAGCCGCGGCCAGGAACGCTCGTTGCATGGAGCCTCTCCGGCGCCGCAGACGGGCTTCTTCTGCCATCTCCATGCCGACGCGGGAGCAAATCTTGGGAGAGGGGGAAAAAAATCCCATATCCCTCCCGACCCGTATTTCTGCCAGGTCCGCCCGGAGGATCGTCTGAATGAACCCTAGCGGCGTTCCCCCGCTTTCTGATGAGGCCTCTCGACCGCCCGCAGCTTTGCCGAACCCGGGTCCGACTCGCTTGGGTGACTTTGTGCCTGGCCGCCGAGTGGGCTCTGCAAAGTGAGTGCCTCGCGCGCCTCTCCCTTCAAGGCTGGGTTGAGGGGGCGGGGGAGAAAAAACACCCTTCATAGTCGTAAGTCGAGGACATAGTCTGTTCCTCCTCTCCCCCCCCCCGTCGCCCCGACGCGCCTTTTTACCTGGACGCTGAACAGGTGTCGTTTCGCTCGCGCAGAGGAGGCAGCGAAGGGAAAGTGGCGCCTGTTGCATTTCTGCCTGACGCGTCCTCACAACCCTGGTGGGAGAAAAGCTATTGCCAACCAGATGGGGTTGTTTTGTTTTGGGGGTTTTTTTGGGGGGGGGGAACAAGGTGTCAGCGGCCGTTTTGTTTCCCCAAGTCCTTCTCCCTCCCAGCTGCTCAGTTATTGGCATTTAAAACAACAAAGATGATCAGGGGACTGGAGGCTAAAACATATAAGGAACGGTTGTTGGAATTGAGTATCCCTAGTTTAATGAAGATAGTGTTCTAATATCTCAGGGGCTGCCACAAAGAAGAGGGAGTCAAGCTATTCTGCAAAGCACCTGGGGGCAGGACAAGAAGCAACGGATGGAAATTAATGACTGCCATTTTTGCCTAATGACCCCCTCAAAAAGATTGTAAAATCAAATCAGTCATATGATTGACCCATTTTATGACTGTCACAATTTGCAACCTTGATGGGCAGGCTCCATTAGAGTCGTAAGTCAAGAACTATCTATAATCACAGATCATCATCTGCTAATTGGACTTTATTTTTACCCCCTTTCCTATTTTTTTTTATTTTATGTTTGATTTTATTTGGTTTTGTAGTTTTATTGATTTGTGAGGCCATCCATCACTAATTTTCAACATGCAAGCAGTTCTTAAAGACTGTGGCAATGAGTGGGTGAGAATGCAAATTTCTCTCAGTTATATTCTTGCTTCACCTTTTTTCTAATTTCTTCTTCCTCCCCCCCTTTTTTGTGATAAGACATCAGGGTTTTTTGGACTGGGCAGTGTGCTACACTGAATAGGACAGGATTAGGGAACCTTGGCTCTTTTATAACTTGTGGACTTCAATTCCCAGAATTCCTGAGTCAGCATGGCTGGTTTGGGAATTCTGGGTATTGAAGTCCACAACTCATAAAAGAGTCAAGATTCCCTACCCTGGAACAGGGCATATGTTTTATATGTGACACTTCAATTTGGCATGGAAAGGAATACAATTCAGGGGCTCATTTTTCATTTGTTTGCTGGAGTACAATAATTCAGAAAATGTAGTATCCCATCTTGGAAGATTAGATTTCTGGCAGAAAATGGCCATTCGATATGCTGGATTCCCTTAACATGTGATTTGCTTAATGATCATCATAAAAATGGTTGTAAAATTGAGTTAGGTCACATGTTGACCTGCTCAAGGACTGCAATGGCTTGAAACTAAATTTCTGGGCTCAGTTGCAGTTGTAAGTTGAGGACTCCTTGTATCTGTTAATTGTTTTTGGTTGTCCATTCTTAGGGAAGTTGGGGCTAGCCAAAGGAATTAACAGAGATAAGCTAAGCAAACCTAAATAGCTATTTTTATGACAATAAATTTACTTGTTGCCTGGATGGAAAAGAGCAGATATAAAAAACATGCTAAAATGTAAATCTGTTTAGCAACTGCCTCGTTCAGCGACTATTCGCAATTACAACAATGATGAACTTTATGATACAATCCTCGCATTTATGGCTTTTCTGGGTCTCTTAAGCAAAGGAAAGCTGAAGCTGGGAGAGTATGTTTCAAGACATGATTAACAATTAGATTAATTTAATGTAGTTATTGATTTTCCTGGTTTTGCGCTTGAATTTTCCTTTGTAAAGCGAAGTTATAAATCTAAGTATTTTTTTATTCTTATGACCTCCTTCAAATTTGCCCTTTTCAGTCTTGTCCTTTCCTTTTTCCAAGAAAACATGGCCACTGTACCTCTGCATGAATAAATAATAAGGCAGCATTGAAAATTAATATCCCTTCTGCTAATATAAGAACTGTCTGATGTTCTTGCCTTTTGTTTCTTCATCTCCAGTCCAAATAACTGCTGCTTTTGTATTGTTTTAAGAGCAGAGCATAACTCGGGACTAATTTTCGCAGTCACTGACAGGATCAGTGGGCTGGGAAAGTAGGATTTAAGAGAGAGAGAGAAAAATCTCTCCCTTCTCAAAAAGCCATTTCTCCCTCTCTGAGGCCTTTGTCTTAACCCATGCAAAGCAAAAATGTCTTTTTCTGCACACATGCAAAACATGCAGAGCAATTGTTTCATGGAGAAAAGTGTTGCAAAGAAAGAACTGCAGGTCAATAATGACCACTCTTCCCCTTTCCCAAAGGGCAAATGTCAGACCTGCCAGCACTTAAACCTCTAATTAGAAAAGATCTTTGCCTCCATTTATTGAGATGGGGATAATTTTATTAGAAGTCAAGTGTATTGCACTAAATCAGGGATAGGCAACCTTGGCTCTTTTATGACTCGTGGACTTCAACTCCCAGAATTCCTGAGCCAGCCATGCTTAGGGAAAGGGAAAGGTTTCCATGCTGAGCCATGCTGGCTCAGGAATTCTGGGAGTTGAAGTCCACAAGTCATAAAAGAGCCAAGGTTGCCTACCCCTGCACTAACACATAGCCAGAACTGAGAATTGTGCGCCCAAATCCCTAAGTTCAACTTTTCCCTCCCTTAACTGCCTCCCATCACTGATCCCCCCATGACTAATCAGGTTCAGGCAAGATGTTTTTGGAACGGGCACATAGGTTGGTATACAGCTGCCTTCTTCTGCCAGCCAGGTGACCTTGCAGCAGCATCTTGGGGAGATACAGAACTACTTTCGCTTTCCCCCAAGCATTCCTCCTCCTACCCACCCTCCCCAAAGTTTATGACAGACTGTCACTACATGATAGGGGAAGCGCACACAAGCAAGTGTAAGGTGGCACCTGACAGCAAGTATCTCTGGGAGCATAGTTTGCAATGTAGGAAGTATACAGGTAGTCCTTACTTACAGTCGATTGCTTAATGACCAGTTGAAGTTCTGACAGGCCTACCTAGGGGGCACTTATCACCTGGATTTGAAGTTCTAATGGTCGGCCTGCCACCTCACAGTCACATGACTGCACGTCACATAATGGGCAACATTGGCTGTTTGTAGTGTCCTGTGGTCACATGATCACATTTTGCAACGTTTTTGAGAAAACCCGGCATTGACTTCTGGCTTTCAGCAAAACTGCATCCGTAACAAACCTTTGGTTCACTTAATGTTTGCAGTGCTTGCTTAAGGACATCGGATTCACTGTGGTGATGTGCTTAATGACCACTACAAAAAGGTGATAAAATTGGGGCAGTCATGCGACTCATCTGCTTTACAACTGCAACAAGTTATGACTATGATAGGCAGGCTCTATTATGGTCGTTCACTTGAGGATTACCTGTTTCTGAAAATTTGTATTTTATTTTTAATGAAGGAATACAAAAAGAATTCTGTAATGGTCTGTGAGAACTTTGAGAGAGAAGAGCCACAGCCTAGATCAGGGGTTACTACCGGGCAGTGGGCTGTTGGCCACTGGACCACATGAGTGGCTGGCCAGTGCACGGCACATCATGCCAGCACTATCGTCGCTGCAAACACAACATCCCCACTCATGCTAGCATTGTGGCACTGCAGGGGTGCTAGTGTCGCGCGAGCATTGCACAGGCACTCGTGACCCCATTTGTGTTGCATGCGCAATCACAGCCCCATTTGTGCATGCATGGCCCCATTCATGCGTGCGTGTGCTCGCATGCGTAAAGGCACTGCCATCCCTCCCTGCCCCGGGCTGCCAACCTAAAAAGGTTGGAGACCCTTGGCCAAGATAACTGTCATACAAAAGGTCTCTCAGCTTTTTGGAAAAGGAGTTTTCTAAAGAGTGAAAAGGAAGGAGCAAGAACTACTTTTAATCTTGAAATATTCTATTACTATTTTGTTTCTTTTTACGATCCTGTAATGCCTTGTATTGGAGTGGAGTTGGGGCAACTGAATGAAGCTGAGAGTTTATTGGTTGGATGCCCTTCCTGACACCTACACAGAGTTCACAGTAGATATTTTCTCTTTGTGCGCTGATAGAGAAACATTTGTCGCTACCTAGGATTGAACCCTCAACCTTCCAAGTGTGAGGTGAGCATTTAAACATCTAAGCCACCCACTGTTTGCAAGATTCTGTTACTATAACTTTACAATAAAGGTTAGGTTAGTCCCATGGTTTGTGCTTATTCTCTGGACTATTTTGAAGGGCTGACAAATTCTTTAGGTTTCTCCCTTTTTTTTTTCCTTCTGTAAAATTATGTCCGATTCTTGAAGATTGCCTGGACAAGTCCCTGAAATTTTCTTGGCAAGGTTTTTCAGAAGGGGTTTGTTATTGCCTCCTTCCTAGGGCTGGAAGAGAGTGACTGGCCCAAGTCACCCCGTTGGTTTTGTGTTCAAGGAAGAACTAAAATTCACAGTTTCCAAGTTTCTGGCCACTAAACCAAACTGGCTCTCTCCTTCCTTTAGCAAAGGAAATTATTGTTCTGATTTTCTGATAAACTAATTACAAATGTTTTTGCGTTTTTTTACACTTGGTATTGTGGTATAGTTCTGCAGTTAGAGGTGGAGATTTTCAGCCTATTTTTTGCAGAGGACACAGTACTGAACATTGCCTCCACTGTTCTTTTGATGTGCAGCCTGCAGATTCGCTGGCAGGCAAACAAGTCATTAAGGGAAAGCCTCTTTTGTCCCATGACTTAATCTAACAAATTGCTGTTCTCCAGAAATGCAGTGATTTCTAATTTAAATTCAAAACAATGAGTCAACAAGGTGGAGTGAAAAATCATGTTCTGACCTCTGGAGTTATTTGTTCACGAGGCTGAAGATGCACTACTGAAAAAAAAAAACAACCCTACATAATTGTTTTCCTTCCATAGTTATTCAATCCTGCCCTCGTTTACCAGAAGCAACAGGATCTGGTGTCAGAAATCCATCATTTAGTATGCTCACAAAAATAAATTTACTTCTCTACCCAACCTTTCATATTTAGCCTTTCCTCCAACAAATTGAAAGCAATATTAGTGAACTCATCAGCATAAAATAATCTTCTAATGGATAATTACCACGGCAGACCAGTTCTCACTCAAACTTTGGGTGTGAATCTTTTTAGCTTCAGAGTTTTCTTCTTGTTGTCACAGCAAGCCTGAATCCTTTTATTTGGTGTGTAGGCCCAATGAACCACACCCGATAGGTGGAAAGGAATACGACTTTTATTTACAAATGAAAGGTTATCCAGACTCAAGTTCCAAAATGAGCATTCCTCTATGTTAAATGGACCCCATTTTATACAATTTTGAAAAGCATTACCCTGAACCAGTGACAGAAACACACATCATTATAAAACCAATCCTCAAAAACATCATGCATACATTTCAGTAGCCGTAGCACAGGTAGCACCAGGTCACAATTCTCAGATTTGACCGAGCCAGTCCACGGTTTGAGCAACAGAGATCTGGCACTCCATTCCATTCCCATAACTTTTATACAGTACATTGAGCTCAACTTTGCAACGTGTCCCTGTAATTTTCTTAGCCATAAAACAGGTAACCCTCAATTTACAAGAATTTGGTTAATGACCATTTGAAGCTACAACGGCACTGAAAGTAATTATTTGCGACCGGTCCTTGCACTTAGGATCCCTGCAGCGTCTCCACGATCATGTGATCACCATTAGTGACTTTGCCACTGGCTTCGACTAGCACAGTCAAAGAGGAAAACCAGGTTCGCTTAACAACTGCATGCTTCACTTAGCAACTGCAGTGATTTGCTTAACAACCAGGGCAGAAAAGATTGTGCACGGCTTACTTGACCACTGCCTTCCTTAGCAATGGAAATTCTGGTCCCAACTGTGGTCATAAAATGAGGATCACTTGTATGGAAGTGCTTTACCATTGACTTCTTCTAGCTCAGTGGTTCTCAACCTGTGGGTCGGGACCCCATTTGGGGTCGAATGACCATTTCACAGGGGTTGCCAAACCACGCTGTCCGCCATTTTTTTCCCTTTTCCCTAGCTGTCCTACTCCCTCTTATTGGTGGCCACACCCACTTGGGGGTCACCACAACATGCGGAACTGTATTATGGGGTCACGGCATTAGAAAGGTTGAGAACCACTGTTCTAGCTAGAATGTTTTTTCCAACTATCTCAGTCAAGGCTGCAGCCTGGAGATTTCCTAGGCTCCCTCACCCAGTTACTAACCAGGGCCAACTCTGCTTAGTTGGGCTTTGCTTTGTCCTCTAGCTAGATTCCAAAGAACTGATTAAAGTTGTTGGGATGGTTTCCTTACTGGCAGTTTACATTGGCACCAGTCTCTCCTTCTTTGATCAAACATAGCAGGCCTTTTCTTTTAAAAAGTTGTACAATGATCTTTCTAGTGCTGGACATAGCTAGCTTTTCCTGCTTTAGCAATAGGTCCCTACTACAGCAAGAATATCAGAATTAGAATAGAGCTGGAAGGGATCTTGGAGGTCTTCTAGTCCAGCCCCCTGCTCAAGCTCATTTCAGACAAGTGACTGTCCAGACTCTTCTTAAAAACCTCGAGTGATGAAGCACCCACAATGTCTGGAGGTAAGCTATTCCACTGGTTAATTATTCTCACTGTTAGAAAGTTTCTTATTTCCAGGTTGCTTCTCTCCTTGATTAGTTTCATCTGTTATTGTCTTGCCATCCACTTAACAACCATTCATTTAGTGGCCATTCAAAGTTACAACGGCACTGAAAAAAGGGACTTGTGACTGCTTTTCACACTTACAAGAGTTGCAGCATCCCTAGGACAATGTTGTCAAATTTTGAACGCTTGGCAATAGTAGTTTATGACCGTGCGTTGTGCACAGTGCATTGTGATCAACTTTTGTGGCTTCCTGACAAGCAAAGTCAGTGGGGAAGCCAGATTCAGTTAACAACCACACTACTAACTTAACAGCCGCCATTATTCACTTAACAACTGTGGCAAGAAAGGTCATAAAATGGGGCAAAACTCACTTAACAATTAAGCTGTCTTGCTTTGTAACAGAAATGTGGGGCTCATAGATTTTGTGATTGTAAGCTGAGGACCATCTGTATTTAAAAATGGGTTTGTAGATGAAGGGATGCGAGATGGGCCCATCAGTCCAAAAAAGAAATGGGAAAAATCTAATTGGGTCGTTAAATTGGCAGGGACCATTGATGAGGTTTACTTTACAATAATGCCTCTGTTTGATTTTTCAGCTCGTGGAGGAGAAATATCCTTACTGGTCTCACAACCAAACATCAATAGTTCGGTGGCTGAGAACGTTTTGCTGTCAGTGGCCTATACTGGTGAGACAAACCCAGTAATTGAGTGGAAACACACATCAGTAGGTGGTACAACCAAAATAGCAGAATGGAAGACTGGCGTTTATGCCAATATATCCAGCGCTTACAAAGATAGAGTGAGCATTTATGAAAATGGCTCTCTGCAGCTGCTGAAGGTGGACTTTAAAGATTCCGGTTATTACTTAGTCACGGTGAGAGACGAATTGGGAATCGTCCTTTATGGCACCATCCTGTTGAATGTTTATGGTATGGAATGAAAGGACCTCATCTTTTCTCTAATGTCTGATGTCCACTTTTAGCAGAGGTAGGCCCATTGCAGATTTATGAGCTTTATTTATTTAACAGAACTTCAAGCTCCATCTATTGAAAGTAAGTTCCCAACGTGTCAGCTAGTAGGCCCAAAAGCTACAATAGATGGGAAACAGCGGCTTGATCTGATAGCCAGTGTTAGTTTATTTTTTTTAATTTATATACAGGGATTATAGATCCACTCCAGTCAAGGTGTATCTTGAGTGATACACATCTCCCTGAAGCGTCGGTGAACACAAATAGATAATATGAGTAATCCTCAACTTACAACTGGACGCTTAGTGACTGTTCAAAGTTACAACAGATCCCCCCCAGGGATACATACAATCTGGTTCCAAAGTTCTGACGGCCAGCCATGTGATTGCATGCCAAGCCCTCAGCAGCTGGCCTGCATTTATGGCTGTTTGCAGTATCTTGTGGCCACATGACCATGTTTTACAAGTTTTGCTGAAAATCGGCATTGTTTTTTAGTAATGTCGAAATCTTGTGGAAAACGAAAGGACTCTTACGAATTCCAGAGGGTTTTAGCAGAGAGATTTATTGCGCAGGTTCAGAAGCAATAGCAACAAGCAATTCTGAGGGCGGGTTCAGACTTCAGTTTTATACTTTCTTTTTCTCAGGAACAAAGGAATACACATTGAAATACACATTGTAATACATTAGGTTCGTTTCTCACGGGTATACAATGGAGAGTTTGCTACATACATTGTATCCAAGTGCAATGCACATTAGGTTAGTCACATACTGCTAACACAGCACTATTCCAGTAATTATGCAGACACATCATTATTCTAGTGATTGTTCATTATTCCACATTGAAATCATAGCAAGTTCGTGTAGTGACCTCAGTGTTTGCTTAACATCCACCACAAAAAAGGTTGTAAAATTGAGTTGGTCATGTGAATGACCCAATTTATGACCAGCACAACTTAAGATCACGAGAGGCAGGCTCCAACATGGTTATAAGCATGGAATAGAAATGGTTAGATGCACCAGGAATCAGGTATTTCAATAATAATCATAATAATAGCAACTGCTCATCCAGAAAGGCAGGGATAACAGCTCTGCTGCCAAAGCTTAGTGAGATAATGAAGGGGTGTCCACAGGATGTAGTCAAAAAAGTCAAGATGGCAGTAGTAATGCTGCAATTGAAGCCCCAACTGTTTTTTATTTCAGAACAAACCACGAAATTTCCAGGATAACAAGCCACAACCAATAATGGACAGAGCTCTTAGAAAGATACTTAATAAAGAATTTCAGAGAGTTGTAGACAGAGGTTCAGTTGTGGAGACCTTGATGCTCTCTGAGCATTTTGTGTTGTTTTCTTGCAAGTGTTTCGTTACCCATCTAGGTAACATAAATGCTGGAAGGAGTGCGGTTTGTTCTGTTTACACACTAGTGTTTTGCCCTGTCAGTGTTGGTAGGAAAGTTCTTGGTAGTTCCTTGATTAGGCTGTTGTGTACTGTTTGTTTGTCTGAGTTGGTAGTTCCTTGATTTTTTTTTCCTGTTTATCATTTACTGCTGGTTTGTCTGATATTAATCCCAGTGTTAATCTCTGCTTATTTGGATGTTGATTGCTGGTGAGGTACTTTGTTTCCTTTTTAACTTTCTAATTGTTTCTTTTGAATGGTATGTAGATGTTGTTTATCTCTATCGGCCTGTTAATGGCTGATTTGTCTGAGTGCCAGGCTTCAAGCAGTTCTGTAATGTTTTTGGATTTAGCTTTCTAGGATTCTCTGTTTCCCAGTTAAAACTGTAGTTAGGTCTGTCTTTGTGTAGTGCAATTGAGGGATTTTCATCATGTTTTCTGCGCTCTACTAGTCTTCTGCTTGTCAGTCCTTCATAGTGGCTGTTACAGTCCTCTCACGCTATACAAGTAGTCCTCGACTTACAATTCATTTAGTGACCGTTCAAAGTTACAACGGCACAGGAAAAAGTGACTTATGACTGTTTTTCACTTACAACTCTTACAACATCCCCAAGGTCATGTGATCAAAATTCAGACACCTGGCAACAATTCTCCATGTTTATGATGCTTGCAAGGTCCCAACGTCATGTGATCACCTTTTGTGACTTTCTGACAATGGGGAGGCAAAAGCCAAATTCACTTAACAAACGTGTCACTAATTTAACATCCACAGTGATTCACTTAACAACTGTGGCAGGAAAGTCGTAAAATAGGGCAACATTCACTTAATGTTTTGCTTAGCGGAAAAAAAATTGGGCTCTATTATGGTCGTAAGGACTACCTGTATTATAGATGGCTCCCTATTTTTTGCTTCTGGGATCCTGGGTCTTTTGGTTTACTTAAGAAGCTTTCAAGGGCTTTATTTGGCTTGTGAGCTACAAAAGTTGAACTGCGCTGTTGGAAACACCATTTTGATTCTTGATTAAATTTTGTGGACACCCCTGTCACTGACTTCTAAAGATCAGGAAATGTATATGTGTGGGGAGTGGGCCATTTGAATTTTCTGTTCCATCCACGAGCAGGATTTTGATCATATCATGTCCATTATTCTACATATTTTGACCTGCAGATGACCATAGGCGGGTAGAAAGAAACCAAGATAGTTCCAGGAATTTATGTCACCTACATTATAACCCTGATATTAATCCATGATTGTATCTACAAAACCTGCACATCTTGAAGTAAAGCAAACAGCATGGGTCAACATATATTGAAGCTTAGCTCTTCTCCTGTGTTTCTTCAGCTTTTCTACTTGCACAGAGAACACTTCATAATGCAATACTATGATTTTTTTAAAAAAAATATTTTTTCTTGTTCCTTTAAATTTTAGAGGGAAAATATTGTGTATGTTTGTGTCTCTGCAAGGTGCGTGTGGGGAGAGGAATGGGGAGGAGAAAGCCAGAAAGGCTGATGGAAGTCTGGAATTGCATTTCCCAGCAGCTTAAGTGAAGCTGATGTATTTGTGTGGTCAAACCTCACTGCATTATGTGTCTCCCTTCCTTAGAAATTCGCTATGAAGACTTGCATTTTGTGGTCGTCTTCTTTGTCTTTCTCACTGCTGCGTCCGCTGTTCTGATCTGCTTGATGTGGTTATGCAATAAATATGTGCACTTTCTGCAAACAGAGAGGCAGCAACTCAGAGGTAATGCTTATTTGACACCATAGACTTATTTAACAGACTGGGGAAGGAAAATCCCAAGTCTGTTCACATTTTTTACCTTTGGAGGCTGTCTTTTAAAATGTTTCTCTCTGTGTGTGTGTGTGTGTCTGTGCGTGCATGTGCAGCGTGCACATCATTGTATCAGTGTTCAGTCTGAATAAATCCTTGCAGTTTTCTTGGCAAAATTTCAGAAGCGGTTTGCCATTGTCTTCTTCTTAGGACTGAGAGTGTGCTGGTCAAGTCATTCAGTGGCTTTATGCCTAAAATAGGATTAGAACTTGTATTATTCCAATATCTAGACCAGGGGTAGGCAACCTTGGCTCTTTTATGACCCGTGGACTTCAACTCCCAGAATTCCTGAGACAGCATGGCTCAGCTTGGAAACCTCTCCCTTTCCCCTCAGCATGGCTGGATCAGGAATTCTGGGAGTTGAAGTCCACGAGTCATACAAGAGCCAAGGTTGCCTACCCCTGGTCTAGACTGGTGCCTTTAACCCTTGCATCAAAGTAGCTCTCTTAAAATATATTCATTGTTTTGTTTTCAACAAGATAAAACAAATTGAGCAGTCAATCACTAGAAAAGCGGGGGGGGGGGGGACCCTCCATTCCTTTCTTTCCTCTTTTCTTGATTTCTGAACTTCGCATCTCTTTGCTCTGAAGTTATTTAAGATTGCTGTCCTGGAAGAAACAATTTAGACCAGTGTTAACCAGTATCAGGAACTTTTAAGAATCTAGTTGGGGAATTCTGGGAGTTGAAGTCAATACATCTTAAAAGCTGCTGAAGTTGAGAAACACAAATTTAAACAAGTCCACCCTGCTCAAGGAGAAATTCAAATCCAAGCATCATAGATAGCAAATGGAGACCTCTTTCTGTTCTGGATAATTGCTCCCACTGTCAAACTGCTTACATTGTAGACATTTCTGCTTTTCGTAAACCCAGTTATGTTTAGCTTGCAGAAGACAGAATTGTGGGAAGGTATGCTAGTACAGCATTTTTTTAATTATATGGAAGCTTGCCTTGTCCTCTATTTACTTAAAAGGAAGGACCGATGGCTCAAAACCACAAGGCTAGATGTTAGGAAGAAGTTCCTGGACTACCGGAACTGTTAGCTCCCAGAATGAGCTACCACATAAAGTGATGAGATCTCCTTCGCTGGAAGCCTTGAAATAGAAGCCAGATGATCATCGGTCAGAGATGGTGAAGTGTAGTGGATCCTACATGATCTCTAAAGTCCCTCTGAACTCTGTAGTTCTATGAATTTAAATATATCATTCTGTATTCTGAATTCCCAGACGAGTTTTTCAAACTGTATTCCACAAAACCCTGGAATTCTGAGGAGAGGGATTGATTCACACAAACATAACCAATTTTTATCATTAGAGCTTTGCCTCTTGATCAAGAGTCCCATAGTTTTAACTAATAGGGTCCATGACCATGGAAAAACAAGTTGAGTCTCTTAGGCTACATGACACCTTTCTAGCATATTGAATTAACTCCAATTGCTTGCATTCATATAATACCCTGAGTCAAAAGTTGAGGCAATCACATTTTAGCCTAAATTAAAGCACAAAAACAAAGGGTTTTGTTTCCCACCTTTCTTTCTGACAGGGTCTGTTCAATGGAGAGGCCAGATTTCCCATGTGGGAAACAGCAGCTTGAAAAAGCCTCCATTTTTCCTCCTTTCTCTTTCGTATTTCTTCTCTGTAGCCTTCTCTTAACAATAGAGCAGATTAGAGATTAGCCTTCATGTACTAAATGATGATATTGAGTGGTGTATTCCACATGATTAGGTATATGTGAGATTTACGTTTTGGGCGGAGAAGTGAATTTTAATTTTTGAGTTGGCTTCCACATTTTTTTTTAAAAAATCACTTGTAAAGGCAGAAATTGAAGGCCTGATCCTAACTGGAAAAGAATAAGAGTTGGAATTAATCAATACAGATGTCAAGGCTGCTAACATCCGATGTTCTTGCTTGACAATATTGTATTATTTCTAGAGCAGGGGTTCTCAACCTTGGCAACTTTAAGACTTGTGGACTTCAACTCCCAGAATTCCTCAGCCAGCACTGGGAGTTGAAGTCCACAAGTCTTAAAGTTGCCAAGGTTGAGAACCCCTGTTCTAGAGTTAAAGGTAGATAGTGTGGGAAGGGAGGGGGAAAGAATGTACTTGGGGAATAGTTAGCCATAACAATATTTCAGTACAGTATTATCCAAGGTTAGTTGTAACCAGAGGAGATACGGGAGGGAAAGTTCACACTTCAAACTAATTGGAGAATGTTGATTGATGACTGTTAAATGAAGGAGTGAGTTATGCTTTGTTACGGGTGATTGAGGGGAGGATAGTTCAGTTTTTGGCTTCATTATGTACGCTGAAGCTATGTAGCAATAAAAGGATTCTTTAAGTGGTAAAAAATGCCTCAAAGTTCTTTGAAAAGCTTCTTCTTTCGGAACCATGACAACAGATTTGGAAAGGGGTACAATCCAGAGTACAGCCAGTCTGTCAATTCTAGTTCTCCGTTCACTAATTGTCCATGCTTCTCAAGAGGTTGGGTATATAATCAATCCAACTACTGTAGATCTTTATTTCTGACTGCTTTCTTGCTGCCTGATCCAGTCTTAATCAACTGTGTCCTTCCTTTCATTTACAGTAAGCGAAACTGAAGAGACAGAGCTTCAAACAATGGGGTCTTAGTTATACAATACTGTAACATAGACACAAATCAGTTTTCTACCTCAAGAAGGAGCAAAGCATGAAAAACACGATTGGTAAACAAAAGACCGAGCATATCCATTTTGCCAAACACTGTTTTCTGAAGCAGAAAAGGCACCAGGTCCACGAAGGTGATACACAGAAGGTTTGAGGAATGCTGTCCTTTCCACATCATAATTTATAATGGACTCATTTCAAAAAAAGACTGGAGTTCCTACAGGTCTGCCTACACGTTCACAAGACATCGAATTTTCTCTGATAACATCAAAGTGCTACGATTCAACAGAACGTGTCAGAAGAAAGGTACAAAAGCCTTGAATCCATACAACGCTTTTTTTTTAATGACCCTGTAATCCCTTACAGCAGGATGGAGTCAGGATGACTGAACGGAGCTCAAGCGTTTACCGGCCAGATGCCCTTCCCGACGCCTACCTGGAGTTTGCAGCAGACAATAACTCATTGTGCCCAGAGAGAGAAGTATCTGTTGCTATCGAGGATCAAACACAGCCTCCTGATGGTTAGGTGAGAGCTCCATCTCAAGGCCACCACACCACCCAGTAGAAGACCACATTGCTTTTAGAAAAACTGCAGTTCTTTATTAAATTATATTGAAAAACACATTATCATGGTTTTAGATCCCACCATCAAAAAGTTGCTGATGGATTTAAAAACCCAACAGATTATTATTATACGGAAATTTGTGGTATCGTTAACTTTCCAATATTTGATGAAGGCAACATTAAACATTCTATTTATTTTTGTATTTTTTTCTCATTGTTTCCTGCTACCAGGTTGTGGCAATGCCTTCAGCCAAATGGATGTTATCAATTTTTATTTCACTAGCACATGTTAGTCCTGGATGGGCTGAACAAGTTGGTAAACCTTTTACACTCATTTTTAAGTGTAAAAATGGAAAAAAAAACTTACTCCAATCTGCAAGTGATTTTTCAGTAATGTCACCATTTCTGCTCTTGAGCAAGCTGAACCAAGAATAGCTATGGCAAAATGCTATTTTGACCCAAATAAAATTCTGGATTCCTTTTGTGAATAGGATATTAGTCCATTTGTTCAAAAGATGTAACCAGGCAATTTAAACAGCTAAGACAAAACATAAATGTAAACCTGCTCCCCTTTGTACAAAGTTTCCAATAAAGTATTTAATAAAATTTGAACTTCGGTAACGTGACTAATTATTTCAAAAGCTGCCACAGTTTATTTAACTGAATATTCAGAACTTGCAGGGCTGACTGTATTCGGGATAGGCAATAAAAGATGCAATCAAATATCACTGAAGAGAAATCCATGGGGTTATCAGAAACTGATTGCTTCCTGGAATGTACGTGCTGTTCTCACACTCACTTTGCTTATGCTGGTCTCAGAATCGCCTCCTTGGATTATCCCCTAACCTAAGAGCAAGGAGTCAGTGCGGCCATGAGGAGCTCCATTTTGTATACAAAGTTACGCCCTTCCATTTTGTTCCACTGGACTTCTTTGAAAGGGCCACGCAGGTAGTTCCATTTGTTGTCTTGCAACACGTCGCTTTTAGGGAGATCTTTGCACTGGCACCGTGGGAATTGCACCATGATTTTGCTGCCACTTTCTGGACCGTTACGTACTGCACGAGAAAAGGAAACCACACTGTAACTGCTTTTAGACCAGTGGTTCTCAACCTTTCTAATGCCGCGACCCCATAATACAGTTCCCCATATTGTGGTGACCCCCAACCACTTATACATCACCGGGTGCCAGGGGCGTGGCCAAAGAAAAGGGGGGAAAATGGTGGACAGCCTTGTTTGGAGACCCCTGTGAAATGGTCATTCGACCCCAAATGGGGTCCCGACCCACAGGTTGAGAACCACTGTTTTAGACTGTTCTTTCAACCAAATCCTCTCTTAAAAGTTTTCATCTTAGAATTGTTTGCTATTGGGTTATTTTGTTTGTTTGTTTTTTTACTATTCTTTTACAAACTGTTCTGGATTCCTCTGGAAAGAACACTAAGTGTAGAAAATAATCTGCGCTATACTATAGGCAGTTCTGGACTTACAACCATTCGTTTAGCAAATGTTCAAAATTACAACAGCAATGAACAAAGTAACTTATGACCGGTGCCATACTTTCAACCATCACAGCATCCCTATTTCATGTGATCAAAATTCAGGTGCTTGGCAGATGGCATGCCTTTGTGATGGCTGCCGTGTCCTGGGGCCATGTGATCATTTGTGATCTTCCCAACTAGCTTCCAATTAAGTATAATCAATGGAGGAAGATGGATCTGCTTATAGACCGTGTGATCCACTTAACAGCTGCAGTGATTCACTGCTTGCACAGTAATTAAATCTGTAAATAAAAATTAAGACTACTGTACCTAAAAGCTTTTCTATAAACCCTACAATTACAGAATATACAGTAGTGGAATAACATTCCGTTCTATTTAAGTGATGCATAGGAAGAAGTATAATTCTCCATGAATTAAATTACCAATACCTGAAATAGCGTAATCTCCATTAGGCGATGCTATCGTTATGGCAGAGGCGTTGCCAATGCTTTCTACTGGGCCCAGCCCCACATGGTTACTGAAACTGAGCACGTGCCAACCCATAACCTTTGCCAGCTGCTGAACTGCAAGAATCTGATGTTGTGACATCTGGATTTTTTTTAAAAAAAGAAAAAAAAAGTTTCAGCTGTTTTATTTTTTTTAGCTTCTGTTACATTCTCTCAAAATACCAATCACTTATTTTATGAGCTATGCTAACATAATTCTTGGTAGTTTAGTTAACCTCTTTAACTGTTGGCATTTTAATTAATCTGCTTTACAATAATAATGGAATGAAGACTTTGCTATCTTAGTAAATCAGTTCTACTAAAAAAACCAAAAAAAAAAAAAAAAACAGGTCCATGCAAACAAGGGGGAAAAAAATCTCGTTTTTTACCTGAGAAAGAAGAAAATCTTGTAATTCTTGCTCTTGATGGGACAGTGTGATCACTCTTCCATCTCTGTGTACTACTCTGATTTGTTCAATGCCAATATTCAACTGCAGTTGAATAGACCTTTGAAAAATCACAAGATATCATTGCAAGTGTTGTACTACAGAGTGCTAAAGTCAAAACAAATTACCTTGCTCTATAATAAAGTGTTCCTTTAAGCATAATTATCTTTAAATCAAAGTGAAATTAAGTCACACATAGTCAAACACTAATACAGTGGGATAAAAATCTCCATGTGAGCAGCATTCATTTGCTAGCTAGTATTGCAAATTGTTTCTGTCTCCATAATGAAAGCACTTTGCAATACTAGCTAGCAAATGAATGCTTCTCACAAGGGAATTTTTATCCCACCGTATTAGTGTCAATGCATTATTGAGAGCCTTACTGCTATGTAAAAGGATAGAGAAATAAAGAATAATAAAAACGCAAGAGTGACCAAGGACACAGCTCAGGCATAAACGTGACGTAAAAACAAGAAATGCTAGTAGGCAAAACCCTGTTGGAATAAAACTGCTTTTCCCAAGCAGTCACTTCTGCTTTATGAGACAAGATATCCCACAATGGAGCTGCAATCGCTGCCACTTGTTATTATTAGCTGAATTTCCACAACAACAACAACAACAATAAATTTGGAAGGGACCTTGGACGTCATCAAGTCCAACCCCCTGCTCAGGAAGGAAACCCTATACCATTTCGGACAAATGGCTGTCCAGTCTCTTCTTAAAAACTTCCAGTGGTGGAGCATTTACCACTTCTGGAGGCAGGTTGTTCCACTGGTTAATTATTCTCACTGTCAGGAAGTTTCTCCTTAGTTCTAGGTTGCTTCTCTCCTTGATTAGTTTCCATCCGTTGCTTCTTGTCCTGCCTTCAGGCGCTTTGGAGAATAGCTTGACTCCCTCTTCTTTGTGGCAGCCCCTGAGATATTGGAACACTGCTATCATGTCCCCCCCTTGTCCTTCTCTTCATTAAACTAGACATACCCAATTCCAGCAACCATTCCTTATATGTTTTAGCCTCCAGTCCTCCAGTCCCCTAATCATCTTTGTTGCTCTTCTCTGTACTCTTTCTAGAGTCTCAACATCTTTTTTACACTGGCTCAGGAAGCTGTCAAATGAACTGGTCCCAATCAGAAGGATAGTCACATTTCCAGATTCCACCCCAACTGAGAAACTGTAAGAATGTCCAATACAGGTAGTCCTTGACTTACAACTCGTTGCTTAATGACGGTTCAAAGTTACGACAGATCTACCTTGGGGCTAGTTACAGCCTAGTTCCGAAGCTCTTAATAGTTGGGCCTCTTCCACAGTTATGGGGCCGAACTTGACGACATAACTGCATTTACTGCCGTTTGCAACAAGAAGATGGTCACAACTGTTTTACAATGGTTTTCCAAAACCCCCAGCGCTCACTTCTGGTTTTGGGCTAAACCACACCAATAGAGAACCATGGGCTCCCTTAATAACCGCTGTGAAAAATGTTGTAAAATCAAGACTGGTCACACGACAGATCTGTTTTACAACTGCCGCAACATACAACTGCAATGGACAGGCTCCATTAAGGCCATCGTGTCGAAGATTACCTGTAATTTTTCTGCTAAAATAAGGCAAGGCATAAATGTGGTCCCTGTTTTCACACTTACTTGCATATCTGCTCATAACCCTGGGAGGTGATGAGAACCTTGACACTCGACTCGTACACGTCACTGATGTTGGACCAGTGGGCTTGGATCTGGGGATCCTCGATTCGGCTGGCAAGACTGTCAATTGTTCGAGCGGTTCTAAAATGAAGTAAAATCCCATCATAGAGTTTTAGTTCAGAACAAGGCTGGGGAATTCAAGGCTGGGAGCTGAAGTCCACATCGCTTCAAATGGCCAAGGTTGAGAAACTCTGGTTTAGAAGCATCCTGCAAGGCCATCAAAACTGCCATTCCTTTATACTAAGTGCATTGGCTTCCTAAGTGATGCTAGGAAGTTGTACCCTTTGGATGCTAAATACTTCATGGCATTCGCTAGCTTTGGCATGTATACATAGTCCTTGACTTACAACCATTCATTTTATGACCATTTGAAATTACAACGGCATTAAAAAAAAGTGATGTATGACCATTTTTCACACCTACAGCCATGGCACCCTCCCCAGGGTCACGTGATCAAAATTTGGTCACTTGGCAACTGGCATGTATTTCTGACAGCTGCAGTGTCCTGAGGTCACGTGACCACCGTTTGTACCCTTCCAAACAAGCAGATTCAATGTTGGGGTGGGGGGAAGTACGTTTTGCTGAATGACCACGATTCACTTAACAACCACCATTTTTCAACCTTCCCAGCCAGCTTCTGACAAGCAAAATTAATGGGGAAAGGGAGTTTTGCTTAAGTGACCACCTGGTTCACTTAAGAACTGCAGAGTTTTGCTTAACAACTGTGGCAAAAAGGTCATAAAATGGGGTGAAAAGAACTGCCTTGCTGAGCAACCGAAATTTTGGATTCCATTATGGTTGTTGAGGACTACCTGTCGTCAATAAAGGAATACAAGAAATGGGCACTGATTCGACTACGTAGGAAAGAGCAGATCGCTATTAGTTGAAAGGGAACACGCCGCACGTAGATGGCTACTTACGCGCGTCTCAGAAAGATGTGCTTTGCCTGCTTTATTATCTTCTCCAGCAGCCCCTCGCTGGGCTGCAAGGAGCTGATTTCATTCTTATCAAAAGCCTGAGGTCCTGCCAGTCTCATTCTTTTGTGGCCGAAAGGCGCACTCGCCGGATGAGGCATCATGTTGCTGCTCAGGGTCTGCTTGTGAAACTGGGAGGAAAAAGACACGTTTGTGAGTTTTGTCCCATTTTACGAACTTTCTTGTCGCCATCAAAGAGCTACAGGAGCTTTCTCTGGATGACCCACAGGTTTTACTTAATGACTGCCACAATAAACGTCATAAAAATTGGGCCTAGTCAAGGGGATGCCTTGACTTACTATTGTCATGATTTACAATGGAAATTCCAGGTTCCGTTGCGGTCATAAATCAAGGACTCCCTGTATGTGCAAAATATTTCATGATATTAATCTCTAGAGTTGATCCTTAAGCAATTAAGGATAGTTGGTGTCCAGAATCTTTTGTCTAAATGGCAGTGCTCTATGTAGTTCTTTGTCCCCACATAATGGAACGTTCTGCACTGCAAATAATCCGGGCTGCTCTCAAGACCAGCAACTTTGGCTTCTCCCCAACGTTGGTTCTCTGGGCTGCTCAATTGCTCTCACTGTCCTCGGATCACCGCTGAGGACTTGAATAAACACTCAGCTATGTTGATGTTCTTCAACTCTCCATTTTAAAATCTGCCACTCTACTTCTGGGTCTCTTTTGGGATCTTCCTATGTTCATTATGCACTCGGTTGT